AGAGCCTCAGGAGAAAGGGCTCAGCACTCTCCAGTCCCAATTGACGTTAACGTCACTACTCGTACGAGTTAAGGACTATTTGCATAAGTCAGGTCCCACGTACCAGAGATGTCCCTTTCTCCCCATCCACCTATGCATCTAATCGATCTAGTTCTTTGGGAGAGCGCCCATCAGCATGGTATCGGAGCCATCTCACCTCCTATTGACTCCATCACCCCGCAGGCTTGGCCCCTAACACACAACGAGGGCTCCGTCCTGCCCTCTGCTGTGCAATCTGCCCCCTGTCCCGCAAAGCACTTAAACACGTGCCTCCACCGCTGAGCACCTTGACAGGATCAAGCCCCTCATGCGACTCCCTAGGTGTTCTATATGGTCACTGCTGTTATATATGGTCAAGCCCCCACCTGCTCCATTTCTCCCAGGAGCCCATTGGAATCTAGTATCGCCCGATGCTGAAGTTACAACCCACCTCTAGCCTGTCCAGCAGTGCCAAGAGGTAGAGCAGCAGCAGCATTAGTAGAGACCTACCCTCTAAGGCCCCGATCCTGCAAATACTTAGGCACATGCGTAACTTTACTATTACTAGTAGCCTAATTGATTACAACAGGATGACTCATGATAGCGAAGTGTAAGTGTTTGCAGGACTGCGGACTGATCTAGCTCCCATTGAGCATTCAGTTTGTTCTTAAACCCTGAGGTGGGGAGAGGGTGGAACAACTCAAATGAGACCCGATACTGGTCCCATTTGCTGGGTTCCATTTCAGTCCAACATTGCCCTCTTTCCACCAGGGATGTTTTAGGGGAGGGAAGGGGGAAGGGAGATCCCCATAAATTTAGCACCCCAAATAGTGCCTCACGGAGTCCTAAAATACGTCCCTTCTCCCATGACTGCGAGGTGGAGACACTAAGGATTTGTCTAAACTAAAGACATTTGCACAGGTGTAACAATGGCAAGATGGGTCACCCAGTACCTCACCCCTCCCCGCAAATACACCCACACAGGTTTACACTGAGTGTAGGTTAGCAAATAAAACCCAGTACAGACAGATTAGACTGGAGAGGGGGCATTTCTTTCTTTTATCCTTATTGCTGGTGAATTGGACCAACAAGCCATTTCTAGTCACCTATCCAGGAAGGTATAAGTCAGAGCAAATAGTTAAGGTCATGGGCATTTTTTGTGTTGTTGTTTTTTTTTATTTTTTTGTGGGTTTTTTTTTTTAAAGATTTTTTTTAATATATATACATATATTTAAAAAGAAAATAAAGAGTTATTCAAATTTATGCTCAGCCGCACGCTGGGGTCCTGGTGAGCTACTAAGAGACGGGGCCTGGGGCATTCCATCAGTTGGATGCCCCCTACAGGCGTTCAAGAGGACTTAGGCCCCCTGTACCTCCCTCCCCCCCAAAGTACAGCCCCCTCTCAGACCAGAGGTAGCTCTTGGTGCACCTGCAGCCTGCTGTTCTTTCTTCTGAAGTTGCTACATCAAAATATGGGGAGGGAGAAGAGGGGTAAGGAAGGGAGAACAAAATAAAACAGGTCGCAATCCTGCTACTCTGTATAAACTAGAACTGCTACATCAAGCTTTCTTTTAATATATATGTATATGTGTGTGTATATTTATATATATATATATAAAGGTTATTGGAACTAAAGATTTCATTAAAGGCCAACTTGGAAGCTGGAGTGGGAACGCCCAGTCCATGGAGATATGGACAGGCTGCCTACTGGCCATACAGATGGCTTCCCCTCCTGGTTCCGATCGGCAACCTTGGATAGTTGTTTGGGTTAGGTTTTTTTTTTTTCTTTAGAAAGGTTTTTCTAACATTTTCAGCATGCAGGAGGCTTTTATATCACTTTATTTCATGAAGAGGAGGGAGAGAATCTAAGCTCCCATACCTTCCTCCCCACCATTCCCTAGGGTCAGTGCTAGAATATGGCCCCCCGTCCCACCCAGGTCCCCAGTCCAGGTATCTTCCCACCCTACCCCATCCCACCCCACCCAAACCTCTTCACAACCTGGCATCAAACAAAAACATTGATCAAAAACTCGCTCACATTACCACGAACAGACTTCACTTAGCCAATAATGACTAGTCACTCAACTAAGATATTGGCCCCATGGGACTCAGCCAGGGAAGCACCGGCTGTTGTGTTGTAATCCCATCCGTTACCAACACAGATATTTCTGAACGCCCCTTTGGAAGGGTGGTCTGATTTCCAACTCGCTTTTCCGCCCCAACCACTCTCCTGACATCAGTAGGAAAGGTATGCGCAAAGAGGAACAGAATTGTGGAGGTTACTCCCCAAAAAGAAAACTTATTTTTTACCTTTCCTTCTCTTCTATTGGGATCGAAACAAATCTAGATTTCAAATAATAACTGGACCCTTTCTGAAAAGGACGTGGTCAGAACAGGACAGATCCTCAAGTTTTCACTGAGGCCGTGTTTCCGTTGAAGTGGCTGGGAGGGGATCTCACTGCTGCACATTGGAGACAGCCCGAATCCCTTGCACCATATAAGCCCTCAAGATTTGAGTGGTACCTAGCCTCTTGCTCCTATGGAAGGCAACTAGCCCAATTCGCCATTGCCCTGCAGCACTGGCGTAGACGACGACACGAGCAAGTGGGTCTAAAATGCTATGGCTGTGATTTGGTAGCAGTTTGCCCCCTTCTTTGCAGTGGTGTAAATGCCTGCAGAAGGTGCAGGGCAATGGAGAATTAGGCTGCTTAAGGTTTGTTAAAGCTGTGCGGGGAAGAAGAGGGGTCATAACTTTGACATGACAGTGTCCCCTTTTGTACAACATTTTCTATCAGCATCCGCTGCAGAAGCTAGGAGCGCAACCTCCTACCGCCGTCTATCCCCTGCCCTGTATAACAATCCACCATCAATGCAAAGTGTTATAAGTACAAAATTTCACGCCCCTCCACCTAACATCTGAAGATCATACATGGACCTTTTCCAAGGCTAGAGTCCAAACAGAGGCCTGCCTCAGTATCAGCAATCCACCCCCTGTATGTGACCGAAGGATGTCTTGAACGAATTGTAAAGGGGCTCAGTTGGGGTCGAGTGGCAACGAATCAAGAGGAAGAGGGGATAGTCCCAGGAAGCACATTACGATGAAATTAAAGTCTCCTGTAAATCAAAGAACATCTCTGGCTATTTTTATTTATTTACTTTTTGGCTGCAGAACTGTCTCTCCCAAGTTGCTAAGCTTGTTGGTCCACAGTTCTAAATCAGGGTCCAGGATTCGTGAGTAGAAGTAATTTGGGGGTAGGAAGAGAGTAGGGTGGGGGTAAATATATATATATATATATATATTGGTACTTGGTAGGTTAATCCAACACATGTAACTTTGCCACCATGGCAATTTGGCATCCAGGTACTGGTTGAACAAACCTGATCACGTTAAGATGCTGGATTGTGATTGGCGTCGAGGCCAGATTCGAAGCCCGTCTCTCCCACTTCCCAACAGTTTAAAAAGTATCTGATTTAACAAAACCAGGAGTCTTCAAACGATTAAAAGGATGTTCAACAAGGCAATTCATTTATTTATTTTTTTGTTTTGTTCTGAAAAAAATATAATATATAAAAGTGGCAACCTCCGGAAGATCCAGGTTAAGGACAGTTGAAGAGGTTTTGGTCCATAAAGAAATATTTTCTTCTTCCTTTTTTTTTTTTTTTAAATTTTCCACTTGGTTTTGGGTAACAAAAGTTTTGGTCCAGTTTAAAAACAACGACGACGACAAAATTATATATATAAACTCGTTTTTTTGCTTTCTGTCGGGATGCATGTTGGTTTCAAATGGGCTCATCGCCTGTATTGCATGATCGTCTTTCTTAGGTTTTGGTGCGGTATACTTTTTTTAAGAAAAGAAAAGAACGTTAGCGTGTGTGTGTGTACTTTAAGAAAAAAACAATGCGCTGTGTGTGTGTGTGTGTGTGTGTAGAGCTGCAGCTGGCATCACTTGGAAAAAGCAAAGAAGAGTGAACTATGGAAACATGGAAGTCAATCCTTGCCCTTGGATGGGAACTCAAGACTGGTTTTGAAATACCCTGTTAGTGACTCCTGATTCAACTGATGAACAAATCCCAGTTTGGATTTAAAAAAAACAAAAAAACCAGAGTTCCAAACTCCGCAGTGGCTCAGAATAATAAAATAAATGCTAAGCACCCAGTGTGACTCCTACAGGTTCTTCCAAACCTTCTTCAGTTTCACCGGCGTCATTTTTATTTGTTTTTTCAATGTTCTTTTTTTAGAAAAAAAAGGAAAACAATAAAAGTTCTTTAGCTGCTGTTTTGTGGTTTTTTTTTTTTGTTTGTATTTTTTAAAATCTTTGAGGTAATAGAGTTGTGCCCTCGTTCTAACAGGTTCCCAGAGGTTGATGGTTTTTTTCTTTCTTTTTCCCCCCTTTGCCATCTGTTTTCTTTTCTTTCTGTTTGTTTCTTTCCGAGCTCTCCTCTGCCAGTTGGTTTGATGTCCCCAGGAGGGGGGCGGGGGCAGCTGCAGACCAAGTTAAAAGAGGGAGTGTTGGTGGGGAAGGAAGAGCTGTTGGGGAAGCCCCTCATTTTCCACGTGCCCCCGGTGTCTCGGTCAAATAAAGATGACCAAGCTTGATCAATGCAGAAGAGCTGTGAGTCCTGTCTCGCCACAAAAAAAAAAAAATTAACTAAACCGCTTTGCTTCCGAGATCCAAGTGTGCGTTCAGAGTACTTGTTTTAAAAAGACATCGTAGGCTGGAGCATCGTTTGCCCTTCAAAATTTCTGGCTTTTCTATTCATTTTAATTTATTATTATTCACTTCTTTTTTTAAAAAATAATGTACATTGCTCGTAAAATAATTTCTTTTTTCTTCTTCTTTAAATTAATTATTTTATTCTTTCATTCATTTGTTTATTCTTCAGATGTCATTAATTATTATCATCATCATTATCTTTTTATTGGACTCCCACCCCCTCCCCATTTCGGTCCCCACTTCCCCCCACCACCCCGTCCTGTCTCTTTAAGAAAATATTCTAATAGCCTGAGTGGCTGCAGCATGGCAAACCGGGCACTCCGGGTCGGTCCTCTCGCAGATCCGCACGGCGCACTCCATGCAGAAGAGGTTATGGCCGCATGGCACCAGGGCGGCCGTCACTTCACTTTCAAAACACACCATGCACTCCCGGCTGCTGGAGATGGATGTCCGGGCGGTGGTGTTGGCTCCCAGCTTGGAAAATCCTTGCAGTGGTTCCCCTGGAGACCTTCTGGGGAGCCCAGAGAGGTTAGGCTCTTGGATAGAAGAGGATGGGGAGCGATGCGAGTTAGGATGGACGGCGCCAGTGCTGCCGGATCGTTGCTGCTTAGAGAAGAGCACTGAGACGGGGTTGGTGTTTTCCTGCCCGGCCCACATGGGGGCACCAGATTCTGGCACCCCATAATAGAGATCTTGTTTGTTCACACCATAGTTAGGAAAGAGGTAACCATAATTGAAGTCATTTTGGTCGTTCAGTCGGGGTGTCTCGTAGACCGGGTCCACAGAGCAGTCACCGATGCACCCAAGGCTGTTCTGTCGGAAGGTGGAGAGGGGCTTGCAGCCTGGGGCAGGCGTGTGGACCCGCCACGCCTCTGAGTAGCGGTTCTCCATGCCCGAGTCAGGGCTGCTGGACAGGAAGTCATTCTCATTGTTGTATTCCAGGATCTTGCCCGTCCTCACTGCGATGTGGGTCTCAATCTCCTCCCGGGCCCGCTCCACGTTGCCGGGTGCTCCTGTGATCTCAAAGACGGGGTCTCGGTCCCGGCTGGGTGTGATGATGTAGGTATTGGTTTGCTGCTGGATCCGCTTGATGGTGGCCCCTTTGGGACCCACTACCAAGCCCACCACACGATAGGGTACACGGACCCGGATGGTGACTTGGCCGGGCAGGGTAGGGGCGCTGCCAAAGGTGGTGCCGGCCTTGTTGCG